TTATAAGCGTATTTGTAAGAATTCTTTAACTTAGTGTAATCGGTTCCCAGAACTTTAAAAGCAGTTCTTAGAGACGGTAAGGAAAATTTTTGCAAAACGACTGGACCGATTTGAAGTTTCGATTTTCTTAGATATATATATACATGTATTTGACAGGTAATGATTGAAAGAATAAGATTTTTGGTAATAATTTCGATATCTTAAATGTAAATTTTTTCACAAAAATCTACTATTTTTTTCAAAAGCCACTATTTTGTTAAAAGTCAAAATTTTGACTAGCCCTTCAGTACTGTATGTTAATAATAATATTTTTTGTTTTTGTATTTGGGATATTTTTAAGCACCAAAATCTTTTTCACCGCCACACACCTTTTTTCGAAAATCCTACTGGAAATAGGCTACAGGACCAAGCGAGTCCAAAATTTTTTAAATGGAATAGCCGATTATTAAAGTACATTAAATACTGTAAATGTACATTATTTTTATTTATTTATTATTTATTATTAAATAAATGCCTTTAAAAAAAAAATTAAAAAATCGTTGTTTTCTGACCCTTTAAACCGTTTAACTAATGAATTCGATATGTGAGTTTTTGGCTTACCCCAATATGTATATACATGTGTGTGTTGATATAGATATACATATATATGTATGTAGTATAACTCGGAAAGCATTTATTTCTATGTCTGCAGTAATAATCGCAAACTTCTTGAGTTTTGAAAGTTTTTCAGCAAGCAAATGTGATTTACCGCATTCAATTTGAGTATGGCATTTGCTTAACAACAGCAAATTTAGTTATTTTTATTGTAAGTATGAGTGCAATAATAAAACACGTAGATGTACATATGTAAGTATGGCATATTACATACATACATACATTCTTACATACATGCATATGTCCAACAACATACTTACAACAAACAGCAATCAGCGACAAGCAAGCTTCCATCAACGTGCAACATTCAACCAAAACACTCACACACATACATATGGTACATACACGAGTACAAAACATATGCCCATCAAGTGTGTGCTTACAACTGCAACAACAACAAAGTAAAAATTCTCTAGCAACACATACAAACATATCTAGTATATTGTTAACACCGATAACAACAACAAAAGCAACCACAAAGCGCAAATAGCGCAGAAAACTAAAAAAAAAAATATCAAAAAAAAACAACAATTGTAACAACAACATTAACAGCCGCAGCACTAATATTATTGGCGGCGACACCTTCAGTGTTAAACACTTTTGCAAATTACTGCAGTCAGCAAATACATCAAGGCGAAAATAGCCGACAAAGAATAACCGGCACAGACGCTGCCGCGAAAACGAAAGACAAACTAGCAGACATGCCAACGGGCAAATAGGCGGGCGGACGGACGATTGGATGGCTGTAAAATCGCTGCCGCCACATAGGCAATTGAACGGATAAGCGGGTTAATAGAAAGTCGTCTGGCTGTAGGCACGATTACATATACATACATACCTGTGTGTGTGTGTGCAGTGACAATGTGCGACGCAAAGCTCATAAAGTTGCCAAATAGTAAGCGAGAGCGTCTGTGAACGAGGGGACGCTCGACACAAACGTGGAGAGAAGTAGACATCATTATTGATGACAATTGAGTGTACGCTTAACGATAACTGCCAAACTGTCAAATAGGTGGGGGAGAGAATTGAGTACAGGGCAAAATAATGCAAAGAGATGGGTTGCTATTTAGCTGAGTTCTACGTATAAATGTGTGGGTGTGTGTTTATTTAGCTGGGTGTAAGTTTGTACATATGAAAGAGAGGGTGTGTCTTAAAATACCTTATACGGTTTTAAAAATATTGTCATGAAATTACTTTCATCAAAATGACATGGCAGCCAAAAATAAAAGTTAGAAATAGCAATTATAATTAAATTTTTATCGAAAAACAATTTATTAGGCTAATAATAAAAGTCATGTTATGATTTCAAATTCAAGCAGTATGAAGTTCTGCGTAGTGCGTTGCAAGTTATGTATAAATAAATTATACAATTAACATTTCAATCAAATTTTTTTTTGTTTTGTCATCACGAAAATTTTAAATAAAAATGATTTTAAAACTTCTTATTCCATATACCGGATTGAAAAATTAATAATAGAAATACTCCCAAATACCAGAATACAGATTAAGAACTAATATATGTAACAAGTTTATAATTAATAATTAAAAACCAACAAAAATTTTGTTTGAATTAACATTTTTATGCGCTTCTATCACTATCAACCAGCGCTCGTTATATTCAGTACTTAAAACTTTTTTATTTAATAAATTTTTAATTTTGATTTTGGAATTAAAAAACAATTTATTTTTTATTCCGATTTTGCAATAACCAATAATGAATTAAAAAGTTCGTAACACATTATATAAAATATCTTACGAACCTACTTTTATAAAAAAATAATAACAAGTTCACTTGGCACATAAAAAAAATTCTCATAAAAATTAGATGAAAACTTAAAGAACTACACATTTGTGGACGAAGAACAAAATGCAACGCGTTAGTAGATGTTTAAGCTGATCCAACATCTGGCACACTGGCACGCAACATTTGTTTATGAGATCCCCCTGGTGTTAGACGATTAAAAAACCCGATAGCTTTTTCATTTCTTTAATTGTTAGTTAAATTATTGTAAAATAAGTTCACAAAAGTTGATTGAAAGTATCGATTGGTTATAGTGTACGAGTATAAGCCATTAATATGCGAAACTCTTCTTCAGGCTCCGAGCAAGAGATATTATCAAACGCATTTTTTTTAAAAACGACTTTTTTTGAACTTGCGTAACCAATATGTTGAAAATTGGCAGTTACTTTCTTTACAGTATTTCGCTTTATATGGTCTAAAAAGGTTATATTTTCTTTATTTAAAATTTTTATTTTGCCAAAAAAAAACTCATACGCTTTTGTTTAGATCACTATAAAAATTAAATGTTCCATTATCATAGCATTTAGATTCAGATAGGATAGAAATATTTAATAGAAGTAAATGCAAAACTCGCTTGATTGAGAATTTTTTCTTCAAGAACGCACACAAAATATGTTGAGTGTGGTTGTGCACTGCACTATCATTGCGACCCCACATTATTCGGTGGATTTTCATAGAAATTCTTCAACTATTTTATATAATGTACTTAAATACATATATATCTATAATAATAGATTTCTATATATTTATAATACTTACAAGTATATCTATATATATACATATATAGCACAATAGGTTATACATATATATATATTAATTTATTATACAGTTAAAAGTTCATGAAAATCATACAGAAAACTACTCGTCCTATTTTCCTCCTTAAATATGTAAATGTATTTATAAATATATATGTATCTCTAAATTCTCTATCAATTTAATTAATTAAGAAAAACAAATTTTTAATTTTACCAAATTTTGCTGTATATGTTTGCGCATTTATTTTGGTTTATATTAAAATCACCCTCTTGATTTTATATGTGGCGCATGTATCAATTTTTTTAAATATTCTAAGTTCTGATATTAAAACAATCGAAATATGCGCCACCTTAAAGTTCACATATTTGAATATATAAGCCCATTTCAAGCATATAATGTAAAACTTGTAGAGTAGTATAACAGAAAACTTCACATGATTTATTGATACATCACAAAGATGTACACTATACTTGTATGCATAATTTTATATCTCAATGCAATTGAATACTTACCGAAAAGGGTTAACTAACTCAGAAGCGTATACACAACTATCCAAGCACACTTAGAGAACACTAATACATGCATATGTATGTATGTACATAGTATGTAGAAGTTACATATAATAAATACAAACGCGCATTAAAAGAAATTCGGCAATTCACAAGCAAAGCAATTATAATAATTAACGCATGCAACCAAGTGGAAAGTTAACAGCACAAAAACAAAAATTATAACAAAAAACAAGAAATTTAAACAAGCAAAATGACAGAGTGAACGAGCGAACGAGCCGTCACCATTGTCGCCACCAAAAGCCAAAGGAAATGAATACCGCAGAAACAAAACAACAAACAATTGAAACAAAAGAGACACTAAAACAACAATTATACTTAAATACATACATATATGTACATATAAATGCAGATGGCGCAGCAAGTAATCACAGTGTATGATATATATTTAGAAGGCTTCAGCTGTATATATGAACATATTTTATTGTTAAATAAATGAGAGCGCGCCCATGCACACACATACATAGAAGCCGCTACAATATAACAACAATACAGATATAGCTATATATGCCGCTGTTATTGTTGTACCAACAAACTGTTCACACACACATCCATGCATGCCTGCATAACAGTCGGGCCAACAGCGTCAAATTGGAAAAATTAATGACGTTCTGTTGACAGCTACAAAAAAGCGTATTATATCATATGGCAAGAATGCGCTTACATATACATATATACCAACATACATACAAGCAAAAACACATATCTACAATTATAAAAGCGAAGAGCCACGACAGAGCGCTGTGATTGGTCAAGCGTAGTATGGCAGCGAACACGCCCCACTTTGTGCTCCGCAGGGTGTTTTCGAAAAAAACAAGATGCAGAGCGTACGACTTTTACTCTCTTTGCGTTAATTTTTGTTTCGACTGCAGTGTGCATTGACTCTCATTCCAATTAGAGGCAAAGTTGTGACGTCACGAAAAAACGTTAAGATAAGCAGTAAAGCAAAAGAAAAAAAAACGAAAAAGTGAAGAGTTGCAAATTACCAAGTCTCTTGCCGAGAATATGAGTTAGACTGGTTTTCGGTGTGTCAGCATGAATAACAACAACGACGGCAATAGTTGTGTAAACCAGCTAGCAGCACCTTGCTGTTTTTCTATTCTTTTTTGCCATTTCAGTTGCTTTTCAACTTTTTATTTAATATTTACTGTGAGCGCGCCGCTCTCACTCTATCTTTCTCTCGCGCACCCTTCCATTCGGCTTGTCAGGTCGTTTGACGAGTTATTGCCGCGCATAGTGCCTGCGAGCTTATGCTGAGCGCCGCAACAGGACAGGCCATTTTTCTGTTTCAGTTCGCGTCACAGTGCAAGTATATATCAACAACGCCGATGTGTTCGTTCGTTTTGGCGTTTATTGTTTTGCCGACGCATTTCTGCAAACCGTTTTCACGCGCCGGATAAATCGCGAATCGATCGCTAACACACTGCTAATGTCGCCAACAAAGTGACAGTGTTGTGCACATTTTTGAAAACAGTGCAATTAATTGCTGTTACACACACACACCTGCCACATACGATTTGATTTGTATATGAGTGGTCGCTGAGTACTTTAAGTAGTTCACTAATTAATACAGAAAAGCAAAAATTATAATGAGAATACACAAAATCACGTGCGGTGTGTGTGCGCTTAATATTTTGCGTTGCTGAGCGAAAAAATATTATTACAAAATTAAGTTCTCATTCGTTTGGTGCTAATTATCGCCGAGCATGATGCGTTCTGGCAGTCCACTACCACGTCCCACCAGTCCGGCCATTTCCGAGATTTCGGTGGGTTCACCCAGCCCGCCCCTGCTTACTGCTTTGCATAATATAAGACAACATAACGGTTTAACCGCTTTTCGGCCAATTGATATAAAACGCGCGCGACTTACAGACTTACATAACCACCAGAGGTCACTGCTGGCTGTCGATAATGGAGTTGGTTTAAGTGCAAATCAGGCGCCACCTCCAACGCCACCACAACGCCGCAAATCGAGCGCTGAGCGTGTGAAAAGCTTTTCAATCGCCGATATTTTAGGTAAACGTGATGCATCAGTGGACTCTCCAGCAGCTCACACCACAACGTCGCGTACGCCAACACCGCCAACCGCGTTAGCACTATTGGCGCTTAATAATTCCGTTAAAGTTACGGAACCCGCAATTTTGCCATTAGTACCACGGCCACAACCTGTGGCGCCTACAACATTGCTACCCGCTCCAGTTCTAGGCGAGAGCCTGGCGCCCACTGTTCCGCCCCCTCTAGTCATGCCGCAATCACAGCTTCTACTCGATGCGCACGCATTTTCCAAGTCGTCGGCGCATGCTTGGCAAGCAATGCGTGCTGGTGCGGCAATCGCAATGCCTTTACGTCCCTTTCTGCCGCCCGCGCTGTTGCATTATGAACAGCGTCTGGCGTGGGACTATCAGCGCCAGCTGCAGGAACACTTTCAAGCGCAGGCACAACTCTTACGCCAAATGAGTATGGATCCCTCGATAATACCTTCTGAGGATGGTTCGGAGCGTTCGCATTCCAGCTCGGCGGGTAGTGAGTGTTGTTCGCCTACTTTAAGCGCGGCACCAACCGCAGACGGTGTGTCGTCGAACAGTGGCGATGATAAAGGGGAGAGCAAAAAGCGCAATGAAAGTGCTGAGACTGCTGCTGCTGGCGTAAAAGCACAAAAAGCGGCAGGTGACACGCCACTCGATGCTCTATTTCAGCTATCAACCAAAAATTTCGATGACGGCACAGGTGAGTGAGTTTGATGATGTACTTAAATTTGCCCAATTGAAAGATTTTAAGGGTTTGACTGCAATTCTTCAAGCCTAGAAAATGAAAGTGTAGTGTATTAGACCTCATATCTTAAAGTCCCAATTAATTTATATTTATTGCGCTTTTCGGGATCAATGCTCCTTATATTATTTTCCCATATTTAACTTTAAGACTTAGGATTTATTTTGACGTTTCATTAAATGTTGTGCAATACATCAAGTATATATCAACTAAAAACAATATTTACCCAAGTGGCTTCTAAAAACAATAAAGGTTCTTAAGAGTGAGAGAAGTGTATAGGAAAATATGCAGGGAGAACTTTTTGCGGCTTCAGCAGCGCCATGGTTGCTATGAATCGACCTTCTACGACTTTAAAAGAATATCGCATGTTTATGGAATATTGGTTATATTAACACCGACCGATTACGACACAACCGGACCTCTTAAATCATATGGTCTTCTCAAATATTCGAACTCTGTATTTTGGTGCAAAAATTTTTTTATCGACCAAATTAATTATAATAAAACCCAAGTTATAAAATTCCTCAATTTTCAGCTGAAGAGTTGTCCCAGTCTAACTTAGTAGCGCCAAAGACCATAATAATCATAAAAGTAACGCAAACTAATTTCGATGACAGATCCAATATATGTGTAGAAATGAGGTTTTGGTAAGCTATGCGTTAATATTTGTTGTTCCTCTGGAATCAAAGTATTAAAACCGAGTCCTCCCAGTACGTGTACTGAACTAGCTATGGTTTACTAATGTTCTCTGCTTTTGTTGTAATTATGGATTCTGGGGTAACAGTTCCAACATATGCTATTCGCTTGTGTTCGATTTTCATCTTCACTCGACACAATTATTTCCTCAACATATCAATCAATCTGTTAGCCAAAATATAAAACCATGAAAAACATTCACTGAACGTGCTTCACCACAACTGCGCAGTGGACTAACCGCAAAGTCGGTAGCGCTAAATTCAATCCCAGTAGCCGAATGTAGATTAAAACGCGCAGAAAAGCGTTTCGTTACCGGATATGAGGCGCCAGTCATTAAGCTTGTTGCCAAGCTAAAGGAGACGCTTGCCAATATAAGTTGGCTGTTGGCCGCGGTGGAAGAAGCCTTGAGAAGATAAGCGCAATTTCAAATTGATTTTCGTACATGCGTAACGCAAATGACGCCAGGAAGCTGATGACGACCGTTGATGACGTCGCGAGCTTAAATCAAACCAACGGCGTTGCCATTACAAATCACATGATTAAACACTGTAATAATAATAATGTGTACAATTGAAGATGGTTAGTTGGCCGCAATCAGCTGGTGGCGGGGAGCGCGCTACTGAGCTGTTGAAAACCAAATGAAACAATCAAGCAACACCACCAACACCAACAACAAATAGAGGCACGCACACAAAAAGTGGTATTTTGCTTTCCCGGCTTGCGGCGCAATTTGAATTGATCTGTTCTGCTGTGGCCCAGTCTACTTTGCCGCCGATAGTGGCGCGTCAAGGCACTACCGCCGCCTGATTACGAAGCACCGATTTGCGCGTACGTGCCCCGCGTGAATCCAATTTAACTGAATATTATCACAAAGCCAAGCAGCAGCGACAGCAGCACCGGCTACGGCAAGCGCTGCGCAATACAGTAGCTGATTTCACTGAACGATCACACGATCGCGGCAAGGTCTCCGGGGCTTAACGAGAAAACATCGACCGCGACGTGTTGGAAAAGCCATGCCGCATGGTCAACAGTTAGCTGCCCCAAAAGCAACAACAACACTTAGTCAATCAAGAAATCGCGCGCATATATGTATTGTGTATAGAAAATGGATCCACATTACTTTTGACTGTATATTCGCATATGTATATGTATATGTGTGTGTGTGCGCTGTGCTGATCTGTCCATTTTCACTTTGCTCGTTACATCTGGCCGTCGTGTGATGAGTGAAAATGATACGCATGCGCCAAAACGATCAAATTTGCAATCAAAATGCCGCTCGTCCGCCAAATGGAATGCAAATCAGCGAACACACGCATACGTACATATCTGCTAGAATACAAATGTATACATACATACGTGTATATAGAGAGATCCACAGAGAAATGTGGCGTGCCTGAAATAGACATTTGCCGACGAATTGGATTGATTTTGCTGTTATTAGCGCTTTATTTCACCTTCATGTTTATTTTTATCCGCCGTTTGTTGTTTTCCTTTTTGCGGTTGCCACTGATTTGCTGTATTTACTGCTGTGTTGTTGTTTTTATTGTTGTTGCTGTTGTTGTTATGAGCAGCAGCGTCACGTTGATGTGGAACTCCATCGTAGAAATTGATTAATCCACCACAGGCGAGTGACCTCACTACTGTGTTTACGCTTTAAACAGAATCTCATCAAGACATAATGACAACAATTGATCATCGATCATGGTGCCGCGGCATCTTTTTTCCATATAACGAGTACGCCGCTGTTGTTTCGTGCTTGTTGTGCTTATTGTTTCGTTATTGAAACAGTTGCATTTCCTTTTTGTGGTTTGTATGAGTAATGTAGAGTAATTGATTAATGTGGGGCATTGTTATAGATTTGTATGTACAAGTATGTAGACATGAAGCTAATACAAATAAATTCCAGGTAAAAACAAGAAAAAACGTTAATTTCGTCTGCACCGAAGCTATAATACCCTTCGCAGATGCATTTTTATTAACATAAAATAATATAAAAAGAACTTTATCTTGATATATGCTATAGTTGTCCGATCTGAACACTATATACGGAGATTGAAGATATCTTCTGCAGTAAAAAAGTTTTGTTACCAAAAATCGACAAATTAGCGACTTCTTGGTGAGAAAAAAGCATGTGCAAGATTTCAGATCGATACAAACAGACGGACATCCCTAAATCGAATCAGTTCATCACGCTGACCTATTTTATACGCACTTTATAGGGTCTGCGAAGATTCCGTCTGGGTGTTACACAATTTTTAGTCCTGTTCAGCGTATAAATATTACGTTATAAGCAGAGAATGTTAATAAATAGAGAAGGCGCAAATGTTAAAAAGTACTAAATTGAGATTTTCACAAGAGGGAATATCGAAAAATACAACTTCGAATCTTTTGAAATACAACACGCATCGATCGAAACGGAGAAAATGCTATAAATAGACACAAAGAATGTTCTTAAATGAATTATGCGCTTGCTGATTTACATTTGCTTATTACCAAAAAATCATAACTTTTGTAATTTTAAATAAACCTTCAAATTATATAAGAGGATTATTGGTTAAAGCCCCAGAATTTACAATAAAATGGTTAATTAATAGATAAATTCTTCAATTCATTTTTGCGCGTTGCATGAACAATATCTAATAGACAAAGGATAGCAATAAAGCAGCGGCTAAGCGGCAGTGATTTCACTTTACGGTGGCTCAGGTCGCAAGCGTAAAGGAGTTAAGCCATTCCCAATACAAACGCTTACGTTCGAATCCTACAAATCATAAATCTTAAGTTTTATTTATCTTTTATTTTATTATTTAACATTTTCGCTAATCTCAATTCAGTTACTTAAATAGCATATTTTACTCACTGAAATAATTTGAATATTTCAGGAAAATATGTTCATATGTTTGGGTTAATTGCATATTCGCTTATTTATGCGTATTTATACAAATGTGAAAATCACACATACATTCATAAGTACACGTACGCTGATGCTTGCTTCTTCTGGCCCCGCACCAACAATGACTTTTGTCTACACTTTTTGCTTTTTGCGAGAAGCAAGTTGAACGATCGCAAGCAAGGAGGGGTCTGGGGCGCACTGCCACATAATTATTTCAGATATTTTTTCATTAATAATAAGTAAACATAAGAAAGTACTATAAGCAGTGTGCTTAGAATATATAAAAGTAATAAAGGATTTCATATAAATGGCAATTTTATAATTTAATGTAATTATATGAAATAAATTAAAATAATATTTCAAGTCGCTAATAGACCATGTTGTCAATTCTCCTTTCTGAAGGCAACATCAGACCAATTCTTCAATTTCTGATTTTTAGCAAATGTTGTGACATACTAATGCAAGGGGGATGGTAGATTCTTCAATCTTACAGACGACATTCAAATTCAATTTCATTCATTTTTATTTCGCGCATTTGCGGTAGGAGTTTCATATGAAAATCAAAAACTTCGTTTTGTAGCATACGCCCGTTCATTATGAATGAATTTGTTGTCGTTGTAATATGAAATACTTCGAAAATATGGTGCGATTTTGCTCGAATCTTATTGGTCGATGATGGTGCGTCTGCAATTTTTTTTGTCGCTTGCCGCGTTTGATTTTTTTACAAAAGGTATATTGAGAGACATACATATGTACATCTGTTTACATATATGCAAATATATAATTAGGCATGCGAATGGAAGAAAGGCAATTTCGGGAATATTCACATACAAATTGATCATTTGAAACTAGTAAACGACAATAACTGTTTGAGTTCACAGATTAGACACTATTATTTATTGTTGTCTGTGGTGCTGCTTGTATAGCACAGCTCGTTTTTGCAAATTCGCATCAAATATTTGCCTGAGTTCACATCCTAGCACCGATGTAATTTTATTCCTTTTTTCTCATTATATAAATGTTCTTCAAAATTTATTATTTCCTTTTGTTATACTAATTTTCCCTAACACGCATGCGAAAGAACATCTGCGCATACATACATATATTAGTCGTTCCTTTAAAAGGTGGTGACAATTTTCTTGGTTCCTGCTTAGAGTAGTGTAGTTTGCTGAATTCGAGGGGATCATGAGGGGAAGGTACCTTTTTGATGTGGTGTAATTGAACTTTCGAATTTGCGCATTTTCGATGTTCCCTTTTAATAGTTTACATTCTAACATTTGCGCCTTCTCTTTTTATTAACATTCTCCGCTTTTGGCATCTTGAACATCGGTAATATTATTGTATCTACATATGTATATGTAAAGAAAAATAA